AATTTGTATCAGATGATTTATATTCAGAAAGCTTCAGATGACATTAAGGTTTTCTGGAAAATAGTCTCCTGAGGCAAATACTCATCCTATTGATTTCACAGCATAATAGATCTAGAGGCAGGAAGGGACCTTAGATATAATCTGAGATGACTATGTGGTTCACTGGTTAGAGCCCTGTACTTGGAGTCAGGAAGACTTGAGCATAAATCTGTCCACACACACTTACTAGTTGGGGGACTCTGGGCAAGTCACTTAACCTCTGTCTTTCTCAGCTCCTCACCTATAAAAAAGAAGATAATAATAGTACCTACCTCCCCCACTATTGTTGTGAGGATCAAATGAGATAATATTTGGAGAGCACTTCGCAAATCTTAAAGTGGTAATATAAATGTCAGCTATTAATATAAATGTAGTTTGTTCCATCATCTGAGGAAACTGAGGCTCCAGGAGGTTAAGGTCACAGAGGTGATAAATGGCAAAACTCAAGCCCCTTGCTTTGAAGTTCAGCCCTCTCTGTTCTCTCTAGCTTATCATATTGCTAGTGACTATGAGAGATGAATACGAGATATGAACAGTGATGTAGGAGCATCATGGAGGAATAGATAGAGGTCCTGGAGTTGGGATGACCTTGGCTTAAGTTCTACTTCTGATATAGGCTAATTATATGATGAAAGACCATCACTTATCTTCTCAGTTCCCTAGGCAAGTCTCTAAGATTTTAAGTTACAAGCAAATTTCCAATCTGCATCAGTGGAGGGAGTTTCTATACTGTGAGTTTGCTAAGCCAATGAAATCACGGGTCTGGACTGAAGTAGTAAATCTCCTGTTGGGAGGACAAGTTTATAAAAAAATAGAAAGGTAAAATGTCAAGGGTCAGTAAGCATTTGGTGATTATTAGTAAGGTTGAATGTTGCCTGTTCCATTGTATGAACGAGAGGCCTGCAATTGCTATACAGGTCAGATTCATCTTTTGGATGAGTGTCATCTGTGATATGACAACAAAAATAATGGCATTAATAAATAACACCTATAGTCTTTTGTAATAACATAATAATAATAACATATAAAGTATTTTACAGTGAGAAAGCACTTTATGTGCTTCAGTTCATCTGATCCTCACAATTAACCTGAAGAGAGAGGTTGTACAAGTATTATTCTCCCATTTCACAGATGAAGAAATAAAAGCTCAGAGAGCTAAAGACTTGCCCAATATCACACACCTCAAAAGTGTTACAGCTGTGAGTTGAACCCAAGTCTAACTTGTGGGCTAGCGCTCTTGCCCCGTGCCACACTGACTCTGTCCGAGGCTTATGGGGCATTCTCTAGTCCAGTACTTGAAGGACTTGAAACACAACTTATCTATAGTCAGTGTCAGGCAGCCTTGTAAGTGTTCATGATTTTTAGTCTGAATTTAATGTTTTTTTTTTCTTACCTACTTCTGCTTCTCTTAAATGACACTCTGGCTCTACAGACAGCATTTCCTGTAGCATTGTCTAATGATAGGAAAGAATGAGAGAATGGAAGAAATGCTCTCTGGTTTCAAGGGCATTTGGGTCACATGCATGAGGAATATACAATTTTTCTCCAAAGGGAAGAGTCCATTATATTTGCCCAGTGTATCTGAGGGAAGTCATCAGTAAAAATGAAATTGATTAAAGCCGCTACATGGATTTGATTCATGCTGAAGCATGAACCTAAGAGAAAAATTCCCCAAATGCAAAAACATTTCAGTGTAGGCCTGGAGTGTTTTATTCTATTCTATACTATACTATACTATACTATACTATACTATACTATACTATACTATACTATACTATACTATACTATACTATACTATACTATACTATACTATACTATACTATACTCTACTCTACTCTACTCTACTCTACTCTACTATACCATACCATACCATACCATACCATACCATACCATACCATACCATACCATACCATACCATACCATACCATACCATACCATACCATACTATACTATACTATACTATACTATACTATACTATACTATACTATACTATACTATATCATCCTATCCTATCCTATCTTATGCTATGCTGTGCTATGCTATACCAAGCCGCACCACACCATACTCTACTCTACTATGTTATGCTATATAATGTTATATATACCATCATATTGTATCATGTTATCTATTACATTGTCATGTCACATCATATCATATCACATTATCACATTGTATTACATATTATTTATGTTGCTATATCATGTCATATATTATATCATGTTATGTTGTGTTATATTAACTTTTGGTCATCCTAAATATAGGGTGAAGTGAAAATTGCCATAGTTCTACAATTTTATTAATATAAAAATATTTCATGGAAGATAAAATTTAATTCAGTCATTTTCAGTTGTGTCTGACTCTGTGACCCCATCTGGGGTTTTCTTGGCAAAAATACCTGAGGGGTTTGCCATTTCCTTCTCCAGCTTATTTTATAGATGGGGAAATTGAGGCAAACAAAAAGTTAAGTGACTTGTCCAGGGTCATGCAACTAGTAAGTGTCTGAGGCCAGGTTTGAATTCACCAAGATGAATCTTCCTCACATCAGGCCCACAGTTGTGTTTTCCACTGCATGATCTAGCTGCCCACAAAAGATAAAATAGGCAACTTAAGAAACTATAGCCATGAACTGAACATAGTATTACGTTGTTTTTAAAGTGTATGGTTACTTTTGTCTATACATACTGTGCATATCAAATGCTTTAGAAATGTCTTCTACTTGCTTCGTTATTTAGAAAAACTCGAGTTTATAAAGAACTTAAATACAAATCATCCTATAATATATATAATGTGTGTAATACTTAATATAGCATTCATTCATTCAACTCATACTTACTAACTACCTACTACGTGCAAAGCACTGTGCTAGGCACTGAGAAAGATACAGAATTTAAATAAGACTTCATCCCTGCCCTCACGGAGTTTAAAGTCTAGTAAATACAATATTACAAGATGCACACGTACATATATAATACATACATATACATACATGTGTGTTTATATGTTTATATAGTAACAAAACTGATTTTTAAACAAATATATCAGAAGCTACACAGAGACCCTGTCTTCCAGGAATTTGCAATCTAGGAAGTAACATGTATAGTTTTGTCATTTTTTTCCTCCAAGTTTGCTGAGAACCAAAGATTCATTGCAGCTTAGTAGAAATCAATGCCTTGTAATGTTCCTCATTGCACATTGTGCTAGTCTGCAGTGCAGCCTGGATGGCTATGTTAAAGGGATGGCATTTGGGGGCTCTTCAGTGCAGCAGAAATTGATTTGCCTAATCAATTAACAACTTCATGGTCACTGAGTACTCATTATAGAGCACAGTTCTAGGGCTATGGAAATATACAGAGGAAAGGGAAAACTGCAGTCTCTGCTTTAGAGTTTGAAACTGAAATCAGCATCCAGGGCAAATGCTAGGAGGAAAAAATAGAAGATACTTATAAATAAATACATGAATAATCCAGATGATGGTAACATATACAAGTGCAGAGAGGACGTATGTGAGATGAGTAAAGCTTGGCATTAATGAAGGAAGGCTTCAGACACAACAGGATTTCCAATAAGGAGCTGGGGAATTGACAATTTAGCAGAGAATAAAGAGAAAGGCATCATGGGTAGCAGAAATAACATGCATAAAAACATGGAAATGGCAGAGGGATGACAAATATGTTTGGCTGGAAACCAAATTGGTGGTGAGGAGTAACTGAGTAAGTGGAAAGTGTTTTGAATTTGGGGGCTTTGCACCTGGATTTGAATCCTGGCCCTGCTATTTTTTTTTTGCCTGTATGACCTTGGCTAAGTCACTTCACCATTCTTGATCTTAGTTTCCTCTTTGTAAAATTAGGAGGTTGGATTAAATAAGACATCTTTGTTCCTTTCTAATTCCAGATCAATGATCTTGTCATCCCTGAATGTGATAAAGTGAATGAAGAATATTGAAACATATGCTGTTGTCTTTAAGGATCCCCAGTGTACCATTTGGGGGGAATTCAATTCATTAAACATTCATTAAATGCCTACTATACACAGGGCACTGTGGTAGCTACTGGAAGGGAGTCTGCCTTGATGTGGGCAGCAGCCCTTTGGCATACTGTATGGATTCCAAGCACCAGGGATAGACAAGTTTGGACCATCACCTACTTTGATATATGGTGGGGTGTGTGTGTGGGGGAAGCAAAATAAGCAATACTTTAATATTACTTTTCCCTCTTATACTATTTGACTTAAACTTTATCTTTCAATTTATGAGCATTTATTTTATCTGCCTCCAACCTCTCCACGCACACTATTAAAAAAACAAACAACAAAAAAAAACCAAAACCAAAACCCTTGGAACAAATAGGCAGAATCAAACAAAACAAAATCCCATGTTGGCCAAAAATGTATGTCTCATTCTGCATATTGAGTTTATCACTTCTCTGGCAGGAGGTGGGCAGATTCCAGAGTATCTTTAATATTACTTTTTATAAGCGCATTTATTTTAGTGCCAGACAATTCTGCCCTCCATGGCACATAAATATTTATTTTGTGCTGCCTATTACAGTGAAGGCTCAAAGCCTGCGCTGGACAGTGATACACATTTTTGGACATATAACAATGAATAAAAACAGTCGAGTTAGGTGTAGGCAGTAAGGAATGGAAATTGAAATACGCTACTTTTTGAAGAGGTAAAATTGTATTTATACTTTCATAGCAGGCAACACAATTTTGGCCTAATTCTGATACTATTGAGAGGTTTTTTTTTCCCATCAATATATCTGCTGCCATAGCCTCCTAATGAAAATGTGAGCTTTTTGAAAACAGAAACTGTTTTTGTCCTTCTTTATATCCCCAGTGCTTAGCACAGTGCCTGGCACATAGTGAGCGGTTAATAAATGCTTGTTGATTGATTTGTTGATGCTGTTCCAGATTAATTTCCATTTTCATTAATATGTCCCTTCTCTATGTCTCTACAAAAGCCATTGGACATCCTGGTTATCCTTGAAGAGTAAAGCATGTTCCCAAAGGCTACAGCAATGACGTTCAAGACAAAACTCTATGACAGCCATCTTGGGAAGTCTTTCAACTTCCCAGAAACCCAGGCCTGACAGGAGGAAATATTTGGCTCCCTTTGAACTTGTACATTATGCAGGAGTGGTGAGTTGCCCCAGGCACCCAGGCTCATGTTTTTTTTGGCATTGCTTCAAATGCACTCAGCTGGTGTCCTTAGATAATGGTTAAGTGAAGTTTAGATTAAGAGAAGAGATGAATGAAAACAAAGTCAGCTTGAGATAAAAGAAGGACAAACCCTCTTAGACTTAGGAAATGAAACATATATGCATTAATAGCTGCACATTTCACCCGGGGGTCAGAGATCCAAAATGGTCTCTGGCCCCACCAAACATTAAGCAAAGCAGCTTCAGAGAGGAACAGAAACCATCAAAGACATTGGATTTTTTCCTATTTGTCTCTCCTTTTAACTTAACGTTGTGCGTGTGCATGTGTGATGTCAAATGGTCTTTTTATTGGAAGTCCTTTTTAATCTGCCATAAAGAAATAGCCCATGGGTAACTGTGTTCTCTAAGCTGTAGCTCAGCAAAGATTTCTGGTGACCTTCACTGCCCCTTCTCATCTTTCCTCTGGTTTATGTGTCATCCGTTTCCTCTGCTTTATACTTCTGGCCAGTGATTCTGAGTGGAATACAGGTAGGAGGATTGGGAAATTATGACCTTCACAATCTCTACCTGCAAAAACACTGCCAGTTTATGTAGACCTATGTAAATATGCTTGTGGCTCTCTTCCTGTTAGACTGGAGTGTATCCCTCCCTACTGGCGTAAAGATTTTATATTGGGAATGCAAAATGATTATTTCCCATTTTTTATAAAGTACAGATAATAAAACCAAACTATCTCATTTCTCTTTTGAAGGCACATAAACAGGACTGTTATCCTAAAGGCATCTAAGTGGTGAAATGCATAGAGTGCTAGCCTTGGAGTTAGAAAGACCTGAATTCAAATCCAGCCCCAGACTATTACTAACTGTGGGTCCCTAGGTAAGCCACTCAACCCCTGTGTGTCTCAGTTTCCTCAATTGTAAAAAAAGGGGGCAATAATGGCACCTGACTCCCAAGTTGTTGTGAGGATCAAATGGGATAATATTTGCAATGTGTTTAACACAGTGTCTGGCACATAATATGTTTTTAACAAACACTTTTTTCCTTCCTTCCTTTTTTCTTTCCTTTCTTCTGTTCCTCCTTCTTTCCTCCCTTTTCTTCCTTGCTTCCCTCATTTCCCCCTTCCTTTCCTCCTTCCATATTTTCAAGTTAAAAGAGCCATATCACAGCTTTCTGTAGTGGAAAGTACAGTGTTGGGAGTCAGCAGACCTGGGTTTGAAACCTGGCTCCAACATTTACTTGCTCTGTGACCGTTAGAAAACCATTCAAACTTTCTGGGTCTCCGATTCCTTACCTGTAAACCAAACCAAACAAAACTAATATAAGCACTATCTACTTCACTGAGTAGTTGGGAGAAAGTTGCCTGGTAAATCTCAAAGCACTTTGTAAATAAATTGCTATTATTATTTCAAATAATGCACTGGCTAATTTACGTATTCTCTTCCTTCTGTTATCTGAACTGCATACTTCTCTGTAGGTGCCTTATAATATCACTGGTTGACTTGAGAATAACCAAGACTATCTTAATGAATCAGTGGTAGGAGTTTTTCAAAAGTCTTCCAACAGCCTCTTGGCCAATCTTTTTGAAAACTACATCAGTACTGACAGCAGTGAGCAAAGTAATCTTTCTTGACCTGAATCTTCAGTGTCCTTAGCTCTTGTGTTATTCCTGTCCTCTTTCTCACAAGGACCTCTCTTCATCCTAGCTGTGACCTGATTGTACCTCTTGTTATTCCCTAGAGGAGGTCTGCAAGGAGACTCTTTCTACCTGTAGGTCCCAGCAAGGTTTACTTGTAGATTAGGGTAAGGCTTGCAAATACTCAGTCAAATCTAGCCCAGGGAGTTCTGTCCATGGTCCTGCCTTTATTTTCCACTTGACCTCGTGTATTGCTCTGATAGTTTCTCAAGTGCCTCTGAGAGGCATGTTAGCTGTGAGCCCTTAGCTTAGGTGGTTTCATTAGAGTGATTTTCTAGGCATTGGACAAAAGGAATATGGATTTTAAAAATTTTTTTATTAATTTATTTTGATTTATCAACAATCACTTCCATATGCTTTTGAGTTGAAAATTTTTCTCCCCCTTCCTCCCCCCCCACCCTTCCCAAGATGGTGCACAATCTGATATAGGCTTTACATTTACATTCCTGTTAAACATATTTTCACATTAATGAAGTTGTAAGTAAAATTAAAACCAATAGGAGGAACCATCAGAAAGATGAAACAAAACTCAACAGAAGGTAAAAATAAGTGATAGCGATTCGACTTCCATAGTTCTTTCTTTGGATGTGGACAGCATTTTCCATCCTGAGGCCTCTGGAGATGTCTTAGATCCTTGTAATGCTGAGAAGGGTTCAGTTTAACAATCTTAGTCATTGCTGTTATTATGTACAGAGTTCTCTTGGTTCTGCTTACTTCACTCAGCATCAGACCATATAAGTCTTTCCAGGTTTTTCTGAAGTCAGCCTGTTCATCATTTCTTATAGCACAATAGTATTCCATTACATTCGAATATGGATTTTTTTTCTTCACAATTCTTTATGCTGTATCACGCATGCAGAACCAGAAGAAGGGGGGGGGAGTAGACAAAATGGCATTTTAAAGGAATCTGCATCTACTCCTATCTATGACACTTTTCCTCAAAGTTTCTAATTCATTTGTTCACTTAACTTCACTCAGATCATAATCTGAGGAAGAATTGGCACCTATGTCTTGAAGTGGAAAAAGTGAAACACTGTCTGGTAATACAGTGTGATTGAGGTCTCCTAGCATGCCATTAAAGAATCAGTACTAAATTTCTAACAGTATGGAAAGAACATTTAATTGTGAATTGGAGGACTTGGTGGATTCAGATCTCAACACCACCACTTATTACTCATATGACCTTGGACAAGTCACTTAAACTTTCCAAGGTTTAGTTTCTTTATCCATAAAATGGGAGGTTGGACTGGGTGACTTCTAAGGTCCCTTCCAGATTTAAATATGTGTTCTGCTCAGGAGCACTGACTCAACTAAAGAGACTATTTCATAAAGTTTCCTTATGTGTAACTTACCTGTTCTCTCTACTGCTTGTAGTTGCTGCTTTCTACATTCTTAATGTTGCTGAGCATCATAAAGCAATTTAAAGCAATTTGGATTTCATCTGGTTCGATGTTTATGGCCATGTATATTCTCCTCCTCACCCTTCCCCACAGCTGATACAAATGAGGAAAAGAAATTCAAGAAAGGGACTTCCTTCCAGAGTATATCATCTCTGTACAGGGTAACTTCTGAGTCAGTGTACATTTGAAATGTTTCACATTTCAGAGGTGGGATTTTATCTGTTTAGACTAGGCAGAAGCATCTCAACTTATCTCTGTAGGAGGAATTAAAAGGTATTTTTAGTACCAGAGCAAGTTTCTCAGGACAGATTGGTAATACCCTTAGGCAGAAAAATGTCAATAAGTATTCCTTCTTCCAAGCCAATTTATTGACTCATCAAAAGAAACTGTTTCTAATCTTCAATGAAGTTAGAAATAATTCAGAAAAGCATTTTTATTTTGCTATGTCTGTCCTACAAAGAGTCTTGTGCTGAGGAAATAATTACTTTTACTTGACTAGTAGGAAAGGATGCTGACTTCATTATTTTGCTGTTAGTGCTCATGGTTGGGCCAGTAGAACTTGGGGGAGGATTTATTTGCAAGGTGGTTTAAATTATAGTTATTATTGTCCTCACTTTAGGAAAAATAAATGAATTGGTGACTAATCTGAAATAAATAGTGCCTTGTTTTGTGAGTTGTCTTATTCCAACAGGAATAAGCTCCAACAGAGCTCCAGGTAAAGAACTAGATGATGAATTATATTTGAATTCCATTTGGTTGAGTTATATTTTGAGACATATTTATTAGTCCCTTTCAAAGAAGTGAAAAGTTATACAGCAGAAAAATGAAAAGGAGTTCAAAGGTAGGTCTTTGGAACTATCTCAAGATTGTCCCTGCATAACACTTATTGGCTGTGTGACCCTGGACAAGTCACTTAACCCCACTGCCTAGCCAAAAAAGCCAAAAAAGCCAAAAAACCAACCAAACAAACAAACAAAAAAGATTGTCCCTGAACTGAAGTCCAAGTGGACATGCAGTGAGATTTCATCAAGCAGGTCCTATTGTAACAGACTAATGGACCTGATACTGGGATCATAGAATCTTAAAGCTTTCAGTCTGGAAGAGACCTTAGAGGTCCCATTGGTCTGATCCAATTTACTGATATTACATATGAGGATACTGTCATCCTAGATGGTGTTGGTCTAAGAAGTGCTTGTCTGTCACCATTCCAAGTTGTTCTAAGAAGTGTCTCAATGATATTTTCTGCAAAGCCAAATGGGAAAAGGACATCGTAAAAAACGAATGACTTGGTCTTAGTTGTCTGAACTCAGTTCCAATTCAGTGGAGAGTTTTTGCAGTGCTAATCTCTGCTTTCCCAGTCCCAGTAATTTCTCCTTTCCCTCTCACAACTTTTATGTCTTCTTTTTCTTTGAGTAATCTTGCACAATGGGCATTTTTCATTGGATGGTAGTAGTGGTGTTTATTTTAAATTAACCAAATCAAAGATACAATGAAAAGATATGATCTTCTCTGGGAAGGGTTCCTTGAGAATAAAGAAATGGAGTGCTTAAAAACTACACTCTCAGAAAAGAGCTTAGTCTGGGTTTGAGACCAATTATCATCCAGGCTTATCACTCATAGTTTAAGCCAGTACCCCACTTCCCTCTCACTTTTCACAAACATGTGAAACTCCTCTTATATTTCTGCTTTCCTAGGAGCATGAAGAAAGGATACATGTCCTTTTTGCTTCCCTTAAATAGGGTGACCCAGAATGAGACACAAAATAACTCAGTGACCCAGACACCACAGGAGAGAAGCAGAGGAGAGATTCCAGAAGACAATATCCTTTAGAATTATCTTGTTTTGAAATTTCAAAGATTTTTGTTTTCAGCAAGCTGAGAAAGGAATCCCTTATATCACTAAAAATGTCTGTGATGATAGTTGATATAGCCCCAGGCTGATGTTCTCCAGTGGGAGCAGCATTTGATAGCACAGTTCTAGCTGTGCTAGTCTTAGGGCTGTTCTCTTGTTGCACACCTGCACGCCCATTCCCTACTTACATGGAGAGAGCTATTAATGGTAGGTGTAGCTTTAGCTGACTTCATTGGAGCCCCAGGGCATATGTGCATTGCTAGCTGCTGTGACTTCTTGATGATGTTAATTATGCATCTAGGGCGTTGGTCAGTCAGTCAGTCAATAAAAATTTATTAAGTACCTACTGTGTTCCAGACACTGCTAAGTGCTGGGGATATAAAAAGAGGCAAAAACCACAAAAACCAAAAACAAATGGGGCAGCTGGGTGGCACAGAGTATAGAGCACCAGCCCTGGATTCAGGATGACCTGAGTTCAAACGTGACTTCAGACACAACACTTACTAGCTGTGTGACCCTGGTCATTGCCTAGACAAAAAACCAAAAAACAAAACAAAAACAAACTACATACACACACATACACAAAACAGTCACTGCCCTCAAGGAAGTCACTATCCAATGAGGGAGACAACACGCAAACAAATATACACAAACAAGCTATATACAATATAAATAGGAAATGATTTAAAAGAGGGAAGGCACTAGAGTTCAAAGGGATTGGGAAAGGCTTCCAGTAGAAGATGAGATTTTAATTGGGACTTAAAGGAAGCCAGAGAAGCCGAGAGGCAGAGCAGAGGAGGGAAAATATTCCAGACATTGGGGAACAGCCAGAGAAATGCCCCTAGCTAAGAGATGAAGTATCTCATTCATGGAACAGCTAAGAGGTCAGTGTTAGGTTAGAAAGGAAATCTCTAGTAGGAAGAATTCTTTGAACCAGAAGATCTGGGCCATAGAATTCTAAAGGATTTTTCAGATGGTTGAGTCTGACTCCCTCATGTACAGACTATATCACTTGCTGATGATGTGACTTTGAGCAAGCCATTTCATATCTTTGAGCCTGTTTCTCACTGTGTAAAATGGGGGGCTCAGTCAGTCAGTCAACTAATATTTAGTAATCACTTGCTATGTCCCAGTCATTGTGCTAATAGGGACAGAAAGAAAGGTAAAGACAGTACCTGATCTAAGGAGCTCACAGTCTAAGGTGTTTGGACTCTTCCACTTCTAAATCTGATGACTGCCTATCATTACTCGTGCAGTGTTACCATGAAGATCAAAAGAAATATTTATAATGCTTCATTAATTTCAAAGTTGGTTATAAATATGAGTTACTATCATTAGGCATTTAATGTTGAAAATCAACATGGATTTCTTTGTTCTTTTTGTATCTATCGGACCAGGGATGGGGAACAATTTGTTCTGTGAAGTTTGAATTCAGTCAAAGGCCCACACTTGAGGACCTAGAGGGCCACATGCAGGTTCCCCACCCCTGTATCACACTATTATGGGGCTTAAACCTACAGGAGGCCACATTTCAAAATAGCAATTACCCATGAAGCTTTAGTCTCAAATTATCTACTTTTAAGAGGAGCATATATAGGCATGAAATTCCATGGAATTCTCTTCCCCATTCTCCCATTCCTGAATTCATTGCATGAGAAACCTACAAGAAGAGGTTTGGAAAAGTATTGGGGTCAGGGTATCTTCAGGAGTGAGAGATGCAAGAAACAAAAGAGAGAGAAGGAATGGTGGTGCCTAGATTGTGCTGCCCTAGCATGATTGCAAGGGGGCATTGACTCTCTAATTGTTGTTTCAACAAAAAAAAAAGGTTTGCCTGGCCACCATAGAAACAAAGGTTTGCTGCTTTGACAGAGGCTGCTGCCACTGCTAATGACCCGTCACACCCATGTCACGAATCTGGACTGCTTGTGTTTTGCTCCTCTTGGGCTGGGATCCAGGGAGGGGGTAACTGAGGAATAATGCTCTTGGAAGGCACTTGGTAGGGGCAGGCATGTGGTATGGGAGCCAAAAATGTGACTGCTTAAAGAAATGTCATTGCTTTGCCTTGCTGCCTTGTTTTCAGTAGTTGCCTTTTACAGACAATTTCGTGTGTCAAATAGGGTTTTTTGTCTGCAAGAGGATTAGGAGGCTTGAATCAGACGTTTGAGGTTTGAAGACCCCCAGCAGCATCCCAAATTCAGGAAGTAGTGAAGGGCCCCAGAGTTATGTGGGCATTTGAAGGAATCTGTGCTGCAGACCTCAGGGGAATGTCATCATCAGCACCTGTGTCTGTGATGTGCTCATCACCTTTGGAATATGTAGCCAGATGCTACTGATTCTAATTCCTACAGGCTCTCTAGCATCCTGCATCTTTATTAACCTCCTGTAATTAAGACCCTAAACTTGACAGTCTTCAGTCTATTTCGGGAAAGTGTGAAGCAAAACAATGATGCTGCGGTTTGAGTTTCTGCAAGAGAAACGCTTCAAGTTCACTCACTGATGTACGCTTTTTGTCTCATTGTGTCTTATCAGCTGGGCTTCTGAATACATTCAGGAGCATTGCTTCCATCTAGCAAGGAATCTAATTAGTGGTATCTATTTTGAAGCAATTCTGTTACCTATTAGAGTTGCCTCCCCATTGAGTTGCCTCTGGTTTCCGTGGTGGTTTCTTTTTCTTAGTCATAAGAAAAACTCACAACCTAACCAGAAAGATGGTTCATACTTTCTTAAGAAGGAACATGAGGTTCATGCTTGGAATGCAGGTAAACAGTGGGGGGTGACTCCATTTTTGTCTTTTCCCTGCCTTTCTGCCTCTTAGTTCCTGGCGAGAATGGGGGTGGGAGAGGAGAACGAGTTATTAGCACAAGGCTTAACAGAGAATGTTTTGGCCCCTGAGCACAGGCAGGAGGAGGCCACGCGTTTTTCCCTTTTTGTGCTGCAGGCACAGGTTTGTATCTGTGAAGCTTACAGAGGACAGAGGGGAAACCAAGATGTGGCAGAGCAGTGATGCTGAGTGACTCTTTTGACCACAGTCCCAGGGGGTGGCTGATAGGTAAAATGGTCTTCCCTTGATGGAAGAGGTGAGAGAGAGGAATGCTTAATATGGAGCAACATGATTTTGTTGCTGTCGTTCAGTTGTTTCAGACTCTTTTCTGGGCAGAGATACTGGAGTGGTTTGCCATTTCCTTCTCCAGCTCATTTTACAAAAGAGGAAACTGAGCCAACCAGGGTTAAATGGCTTGCCCAAGGTCATACAACTAGTAAGTATCTGAGGCCACATTTGAACTCAGGATGATGAGTCTTCCTCACTCCAGGCTCAGTGCTCTATCCGCTGTGCCATCTAGCTGCTGTGAAGCAACGTCATAAGACTGTAGATTTAGATATTATAGAGGCCTGAGTTTAATGTCCTTATTTTAGGGATGAGAAAACTGAGGGCCAGGGAGGGTGACTTGTCCAGGAGCACACAAAAAGGAAATACTAAGGGGTGCATTCAATCCCAGATACTTATATCCCACACTGTTTCCACTGTACCACATAGAACGTAAAGCTTGATAGGACCTTAGAGAATTTGTAGTTAAATCCCTCATTTTATAGATGAAGACATTGAAGCCTAAGAAGATGGTCCAGCAGTTGACAAAGGTTGATGAGTTGGGTTGGTAATCACAAGATAACCTCTTGGTAACATAGAGAAGTAGGTCAATTCTCACTATTTTCTGAGCAACCTAGTCTTTCTCTCATCTAGATCAAGCTACCAGTACTCCTATGTTCTATTATCCATCTTCCTAGCAAAACCTGCTCTCCTAGGAGCATTGACATTCTGTTTCTTATATGTAATTATGAAGTGAAAGACTTTGATCCCAGTTTCAAGCATCAGTAAATATGTTGAAAGTATAATTTGGGGGTGATGGTGCTTGGCTTTTTATAACATCTGAAGCCATGCCACCTATGTGGTTTCCTACCACAGCACTTTAGTTAGCTGTGGTAGGGACTCTCAGGTGAGGAGAAAGATGAGGTCCTTTCTTATGTCAAGGAGAAATATCAACCACATACTTTCATTTTTTTATTTCAGCACTTTATTCTGGCTCTTTGATTTCATAGTTTTTTTCAGTCTAATATTTATTTCAGGAACGAGCCCAATTTGCCTTCTTCTTTCGGGTATAACGGATCTGTATCTGGTACCACAGCAGTTTCACTGTAGTGGTGAATCAAGATAGATTCAGAATTGCTGTCAGGATTTTCCAAACAGATTGTAATACAATTATCCCTTCTGTATTACAGGGATTCGGGGCACAGTACCTCCATGATCTAGAGAATCCGCATAAAATTTTTGGCCCTCCCTTTGTACCAAAGAAGTCTGAATTATTATGACAATATCATACAATACGACACATGTATTTTGTGCATTTTAAAGTTTCTAAACTTTTTCTGTGTCATCTGCTGGCCATCGTGTGTCATCTGGGGCTTCTTGGAGAAGTCATTATGTGGAAGGGTTAAATGTATGTTGAATCCAAGCAAAAGTAAATCTGTGGGCCCAGGATCTGGGGAATACAGGATGGTTTCTTTCACTTTTCCTCATTTGGACAATGTGTTGGGAATCCAGTCTTTGTGTCCAATAAATCACTTAATTTTGGTGGTGAGAAAAGTTGTTTTGACTGGTTAATAGCCTCTGTCGTTTGTGGTTTTGTTCAGGCTAAGGAGCTTGTCCTACATCAGTGTCTCATTACCCTGGGTGCTTGCATGGGAGCACAGGGCCCTTTGGGTGATTTTGAAATTTATTGTCATCGTCATTCTTACTGAATGCCTTTCCCAAAGCCTCATATATCAGTGTTAACAGGGAGAACCCAGGACCTATTGGATTGGACCTCCTAGGGTGCATGCATGCATGTTTTGGCTCTGTGGGAAGGGGCTTGTGCTCTGGCTCAGCTCTGAAAGACTTGGCTTTGGGAAGATGTAGCAATCTCATATTGGTCTCTGATTAGAGGCTATGTCAGATATTATTAGTCACTGATCTAGGAAGAGCTAAGGAGAACAGAAAGATCCTGTGACATCTGCATTATCTTTAAATTTGTAGATTAAATGATCATTATTATTTTCTTTTATTGGAATAGACTTTTTACTGGAATAGACACAATTACCTATATATTAGTCATATTTTTTTTTGGTCTTTTTCCTTATTGCTAGGCTGCTCTGTTCTTAACCTTTAGAGTTCCTCCCCATTCTAGTATGTAACTTCTGATCTGCTACTACCTGAAATTCATATCAGAGTATAGAGGTTAATAATTAATACTGAATTAAATAATTATTACATTTAATTAATTTGTTATCGCATGTTGACACATGTTGTATGTGTTTGTGGCGTGTTTCGCCATGTTATACTAGGCTACACCATGCTATATCGTATCAAAGTGTACTATACTACAATATAACATGTCACACACGCACACTATGTGATCACATGCCGTTAGCATGCCACCACATGCGATTGCACGTTGACACATGTTGTGAGCATGTCACCGCATATTGTTAGCGTGTTATCGCAAGCTGCATGTGTTTTGTGGCATGTTTCGCCATGGTATGCTAGCCTACACTATGCTATATTGTATCAAGGTGTACTATAGTACAATACGGTGCGCCACACACGCACAGCATGCGATCATATGCTGGTAGCATGTCATTGCATGTCACAACATGTTGTTAGCACACCACAAACATGTTATTTACATGCTATTGCATGTCGACACCTGTTGTGTGTCTGTGGCGTGTTTCGCCACATTATGCTAGGCCACACTATGCTATATCAATAGCATCAAGGCGTACTATACTACAACACAACACGCCACACACACTATGCGCTCACATGTTGTTAGCATGTTATAACAACATGTTATTTACATGTTATAGCATGTTAACAATGTTGTGTGTGTTTGTGGCATGTTTCGCCTTGTTATGCTAGGCCACACTGTGCCTATATCACATCAAGGCGTACTATACTACGATATAACATGCCACACACACGTCATGCTCTCACGTGTTGCTAACATGTCACTCACAGGTTCCAGCATGTCACCACATGTTGCCAGCATGCTAGTAACATGATAACACATTATCACATGTTATTAGCATATTATAGCATGTTGACACATGTATTGTTTTTGTGGCGCGTTTCGCCATGTTATGCTAGGCCACGCTATGCTATATTGTAACAAGGTGTAGTATACTACAATATAACATGCCACACACGCACACTCTGAGACCACATGCTGTTAGCATGTTATCACATGTTGTATGTGTTTGTGGCGTGTTTTGCGGGGGATAGATATATCTGTCTTACTAGGGTTACTGTGAGGATTCAATTAATGTATTCGTTCAGTAAATATTCAGATTTAGATATATTGAGTACCTACCCTAATAATAAAAGTAACTCATGTTAATGCAGTATGCTAAGATTTAAAAAGGCATTGATTAGATGAGATAGTATATGCGAAAGCACCCTGAAATATGTGAAGTTCATAAAATATGAATAACTATTATCATTATCTTCATTGTAATTCTAAGAGTTATATGAAAATTGGTTATAATGAGCTTCATGGAAATTGGAATTGTGGAAGAAAAAGGCTTCTTTTTCATCTTTACTTGTCCATCTCATGGTTTATTCTGTCCCTTTTGACCTTGGCCTAATAATTTACTATGTTTATTTAGGTATTGCAACCTGAATCCAAGTGCCATTCCAGTAGGAAAGTCAAGGAGAGTGGGAAAGTAGCCGTAGAGCTCCCTGCCTCCTTCCCTTCCCTTTGCCCAGACCCATTTTGGAATCACTAAGGTAACCAGAAAGCTACAGAGAGTGTTTTCGTAGAAGAGTGGGTAGAATGAATGTGTTTCTTAAAATATCTATGAAAGCACAACCGTTAGGCAGTCTTCCAACCCCCACAGCCCAAACCGCCATCAACAATACTCTTCTGACTATACAAATACAAAGCAGTTTGAGAAAGCAAAGTCAATGCTTTTAAAACCTCAGTCATGATTGTCACTGCCTTTTTGCAGCTTTTTGCCAATAGACACAGTACTGGATGAACTTGAGAGTCTGAGATCAGGTGGTTACAGATCAGGTCTCCTTTCAAGGTGCTTCCATTGTGGAAGCAAACCACTTGCTTATGTCAGGAGAACAGACTTATTCAAGGAATCTCTTAGGAAATAGCTCTTCCAGTTTACTAAATGACATGCATGTCCTCTGAAATCAATAAATCCATTAACAAAGATTTATTAAGTTCTCACTATCTGTGAGGTCCTGTGCTGGGTTCTGGGGAAACAAATGTTAGAATGCAACAATCCCTATTGCAAGGAGTTTACGTGCTTTTGGGAGGCGCAACAAGTACCTCCGTGAGTATATGGTTGGTTTTTATCTTTCATTCTTGAAGAGGAGCAAAATGACATCACTGTTTCAGTGTGTCTTACTGTGGCTGACCAGACCAATGTAAGCTTGGATATTCTCTCATAGGGTGAGCACAAATAGCCCATGTGAACAATCGGGGTGGGTTCTCTAAATCTGCACATCTCATGTTTCTTTTGAGCTACTCCAATTCTGCTTTCCTCATAGAGCACAGCACCTTCTCTGATGTGGGGACGCCATGCTGAATGGTCCTTTGCCAGCCTCTCCCATGGCTCACAATCAATTCCAAAGTTCTTAAGAGAGACCTTGAAAGTGTCCTTGTGTTGCTTCTTCTGCCCGCCATGTGAACTCTTGCTTTGTCTCCCCCAATCTGCCCTCCCCTCTATCATCCCCCCTCTCTTATCCCTTTGCCCCCTATTTTCCTGTAGGGTAAGATGGATGTCCATACCTAATTGAGTGTGTATGTTATTCCCTCCTTAAGCCAAATCCAATGAGAGTAAGATTCACTCATTCCCTCTCACTTTCCCCCACTTCCCCTCCACTGTAAAAGCCTTTTCTTGTATTTTATGTGAGATAAATTACCCCATTCTACCTCTCCCTTTCTCATCTTTAAAATAGTGATAAAATAGCATTCTTGTGGGAGGCCAAATGAGAGAACAGATATAAACTGCCTTGTAAACTTTAAAACACTAGATAAATGCAAGGTATTTTTTATTATTTTCAGAAGTAGTAGGTATACCCAAATTTTTTTTCCCCTTAGGCTCTTGTTGCTTTCATTGATGAGGACTTTGCTCTGGTCCTGGATATCTCCTTAGCCAAGGATGACATTCTCTCAATGAGATTCTGTCTTGGGTTAGGTGTATTCTTACCTGGCCCTGGGTTCTTCCCATGTGGTGATGCCACATTAAGGAGGATTGATTAGTCCAAGTCCAGTTCATAATCCTGCTCATCTTCACTGTTACATCTTTATACTCAGTCTGGCAAGCAGAGATATAGGGACACACACAGAAACAGAGAAGAAACCCTATCTTAGAGGAAGGGAGAAGAGAGGAAACATAGAGATAAGGACTCACTTCTCTAGAAGGGTGACCTGCATGTCTTCATATCCATGTGCTATCTCCCCCAGAGAACCACGTGCTCCATGGAGCCAGCTGACCCCAGGATGACAGTAGGTGGAACCACAGGTGGAGGGGAGTGGTGGGGAGTTCCTGAGCCAAATGGAGCAGTGAAATAATTTCTAACCCAAGATAACTTGGAAGGTCAGCAGGAAAGGTCTGTCTTACTTGGGAAGTATAAGACCTGGAGCCAGGAATAACAGAACATCAGTAGCATAGGGATCTAGGATTTCTTGGACCAGCAAAGGGTTCCTGAACCAAGCTTCTTAGACCCAAAGGAGAAGTTTCTGGACCAAGCAGAGGAGTTTCTGGGCCAACTGTATCAACTGAGTCAGAACTGTGTAACAAGAAGAGATAGAGCCAAAATGTGGAAGAACAAACTTAGTCCTTGCCCTTCACTAATAGAGCGATTTATATGTACTGAATAGACAACTTCTGAATAGTTCAGCTACTTTCTCCATCCCACCCAGGGTAGGGGAAATCTTGTTCTCTGTCTCTGTCTCTTTCTGTCTCTGTGTCGCTGTCTGTCCCCTCTCTGTCTCTGTCTCTTTCCTTCCTTCCCTCTTGGTCTCTTTATCTCCCTGCCTCTCCATTTCTCTCTTCCCTTTTCTCCTTTCTCTCTCTTTCTTTCTGTTTCTGTTCTCTCTTCTTTTCTCTCTCTTAAGTGTACATACAATATATGTTATATATGCATATATAATACACTGCATGTATTATATATGCATCTATATATACATATATAACTGTATACACATATATAACTTACATACACACATATGTGTCTGTATATATACCTGAGATATAGGACATACCAAAAGTATAGGTTGCTTAATTTCTAGCAAACCTAAGTTCTTTCCCCTGTCTGGGCCCCATGCTGTGTAGGTAAGTCTAGAGAACTATATAGATCCCTAAGAGAGGTGGAGACCCATCAGAAAGGGAAGAAAAGTTGTCTTGGCTGTTTATGGGCTCAATCCTTAATGTTGTTGTTCAGGTTAAATTAAATGTCTTGTTGGTCTGGACACTTGCTTGGGAGTACAGGGCCCCGTCTAGGCACAAGCTAGATCCTGATGTTCCCAAGGGAAGTTCTAGGTGGGGCACAGCAAAAAAAATCCTGAAGAAAGAAGTTTCCCCACTTGGACCTTATCCAAAATAAGCCTAGAGCTTATTCTGTGTCACAGGTTACAACCCTATTTGACTCTGGGCTTACCTCAGAGGTAAAGCTGTTAAAAGAAGTCAATTAATACTATCTTTTAGCACTATACGCTTCCAAAATGAAAGTTGGGAAAATGACATTTTGCACCTTTTTGCATCTCTCGTTTTGGAACGCAGGATGGTGAAGTGGATAGTGACCCAGACTCGGAACCAGGAACACCTGAGTTCAATTTCTGCCACTGACACAGACTGTCTGTGTGACCACGGGCAGCTCACTTATTCTCTAAGTGCTCTGGGCATTTCCTCGAGACTATAGATTGCAAAGCAGTTGCTGATCTGAATTAGTAGAGGGAATTTCCTTATCTAGATATAGATATCCTATATCACTTCTGGGAGCCAAGATGGCAGAGTAAGCAGGAAATTGCTTGCATTCTCCCATATTCACCTCCAAACAACTATAAGATAGCATCTCAAAATGAATCCTGGAATGGCAGAACCAACAGAAAAATGGGGTGAAACAATTTTCTAGCCTAAGATAACTTGGAAGGTCAGCAGGAAAGGTCTGTCTTACTTGGGTAAAAGGAGAATACAGTACAGGGCTGGTGAGCCAGAATCAGGTCCTACCTCAGCAAGCCTGGGGGAGGCCAGTGACTGTGGGCCCATGGGCAGCAATGGGCAAGTGGCCAGCCTTCCCTTGCAGCCTGGTGCAGCGTCAGCCATGCCCCGCCTCCCCCTCCATGGGGCCCAGTGAAGCACTAGCCACACCCCCACAACCCTGCTCAGTGTAGGACAAATAAGTGACCAGCCCTCCCTGCCAATAGCCCCAGCGCAGCAGCAGGTGAGCAGCCATATTCTACCCCCAGGCCCTAGTGTGGAACCTCCCCACCCCTGCCCTGAGGGCCTCAGTGCAACACCAGGTGAGCAGTCAGATCCCACACAGCCCTTAGCACAGCACTAGGCAAGTGGCCAGATTCCCCATGGTCCCTGTGCAACACCAGGCAAGCAATCAGGGCTTGTAGCCTCAGGCACAAGAAGCTTGGGACACTTGCCCCTTCCACCCCAGTAGCAGAGCTCAACTTTAAAAGCAACAAAACAGTCTGGAAAAGGTAGGTAAAAAACAAAAGAAAACAAAAGAAAACAAAAAAAGAACCTGACCATAGAAAGTTATTATGGTGACAGGGAAGATCAAGACACAAACTTAGAAGAGGATAACAATGTCAAAATGCCTACATTTAAAGCCTGAAAGAAAACTGTGAATTAGTCTCAGACCCAAAAGAACTCCTAGAAGAGCTCAAAAAGGATTTTAAAAACCAAAAAAAGAGATAGAAGAAAAATTGAGAAAAGAAATGAGTTCTTATTGTTTTAAGAATGACTTTGAGCGAATAAGTTATTTTGTCTGTTTTAAATACTCAAATTAACTATAAAGGACATATAAAGAAAGGTGTTATCTGCAGCCAGAGAATGAAATGATAAATAGAAGTATGTATAGAATAATTTTACATATGTGTGTGTATGCCTATTTGTGTCTAATGGTAGCCATCTCTAGGGTGGGGGGGAGGAGAGAGAAAAAAAAAAGAAATTTACATGAGAATTTCATTGTATATTTGAAAGGAATAGCAAATTGTGCATAGTAGATTTGCAGTTTATGTACAATCATCTTTTTTATTGTATTGTGTTATAGAAATGCTTGTTTTGTTCCATAAATTAAAAATAAAATTAAAAAAGAAGAGTGATGCAAGAGAATCATGAAAAAAGAGTCAACAGCTTGATAAAGGAAGGATATAAAGTGGAAAAATATATACAAAAATTTACCAAAGAAAATAATTCCTTAAAAAGTACAGTTGGCCAAATGGAAAAGGAGGTAAAAAAAACCTAACTGAAGAAAATAATTCCTTAAAAATTAGAATTGGGCAAGTAGAAGCTAATGACTCCATGAGACATCAAGAATCAATCAAATAAATTCAAAAGAAGGAAAAAGTAGAAGATGTAAAATATCTCATTGTAAAAAACAAGTGACTTTGAAAATAGATCCAGGAGAGATAATATAAGAATTATTGGACTACCTGAAAGCCATGATCAAAAAAGGACCTGGACATTATACTTCAATAAATTATCATAGAAGTTTCTTATATCAGTGAGATCATGATCTGGTCCCCATCCTTATTGCTATTAATAATGAATTGTTAGAGTATTCAATGTTTGCTTTCACTTGATAAGCTTGGGTTCAGGCCAGCCCTCAAGCAGGCACTTATTTACTCTTAGGTACTTGGCCGACATCTTTGAATAGCTTCTATCAAATGATGGTGGTGTCCGGGTTATATGACCTTGTGGTCAAGACAGTTTTACTGAGTAAGCTAAGGAGAACCAGCATTGTTAATCGCTGTTGGAGGAAGACAATCATCTAAGTACAATTAGGCGCCTATCTCCCTAAGCCTTAATTGTTATCAATTATTACTTTAATTAAACCTAATTTTCCCCTAGCTTGGGAAGAGCATTTTCTCCAAAGCATTATAAATTTCTCTACTTCACATAGAAAGTCTCCTTTTTGTGGGGAGGGGATTTGGGAAGGGAGAGAGATTTATAACTTCAGTACTACAATGATGTATTGATACTCATCAGTGCTGAATAACAGAGTGTTTGCTTTTGTTCATCGATCTAGGAAAAGAGACAACTAACTGTATTTAATAAAGGCAAACTAATGCCTGCCTCTTGATTAACTTATATTTTACTCTAGAAGTTCTTGCCAGCAGTTATTTTGGCTACTCTTCTGCTCCTTCTGCACATTTTTCTTGCCATAGTTTATAGAAAGAAAGAAATAAGGATATGGTACATTGCTACATTTCCTCACTGAATTCCTAAGGTTGTCTTTTTTTCCCCCCTGGAAAAAGGGAGTCAGCTGTACCTGCTAACCATAACTCTTTGCCCTTTGGAGGTAGAGCTTGCATTATTCCCAATTTGCATTAAACGATCCCTTAGCAATAACCACAATATAGGATTTAACTTTCTTTAAAAAAAACATGCACAACCCTGCTTTCTTGGGGTTATGAACTCAAATTTACAAAAAATATATAACTTCTATCTAGAAATGTTTGAATACAACTTGAAGCAATTTTACAACAGAAATATAAAGTGCTGTCACCACAGACATGTTGTGATAGGAAAGGACAGACCAACTACTCTCTGAGTAATCATAACACCCATCTGCTTTCTCTCTAAGGTGTTTTACAGCTGGCCTCTTGGATCACCTGGAAAAAATGAAGGCTGAGAGACTAGCTAAAATCTTTATACTAATCCAAGCCTCAATAGGAGGCAAAGTGATGTGGGCCAAATTCCAGAAGATTCTAGAACAGAGGTACCACACTTTATAGATAGATGATGCATTCCAGAATCAACACAATCTTGTTTCATTCCTTGTCCAGTGAAATGAAGAATAAATGACACTGGTCTCGTAGTCAGAAGGTTTGAGTTCTAGATCTTTTATTAACTTTCTATGTGACTGTGGGTTAGTTACATGTCTCACCTTAATTTCTTCATCTGTAAAATGGGGATAGCACTACCTACCCTGTATACCTCATTGGATTATTATAAAGACCAATTGAGATAGTGTGCAAGTACTTAGAAAAGTGCTTAAGATTATGCAAATACAAAGAGCTATTATTTCTTTAAAAAAAATATTTGCAGTTCCAAATTCTCTCCCTCCCACCACACCTCTCCCACCCTTTGACATGGTAAGAAATACAATAACTTATTCACCTGAAGTCATGCAAAATATATTTACACATTAGCCATGTCCCAAAGAAAAAAAAGCTAAAATAATACAAGTGGAAAAATATGCTTCAATGCGCACTTGGAGTCCTTTGTTCTCTCTCTGGAGGTGGATAGCATTTTAAATTATGAGGGATTTGGAGTTGAGTTGGATCATTTTATTGATCAGAGTAGCTAAGTCTTTCACAGCTGATTATTGTTACATAATTACCATCATTGTACATTATTCTTCTGGTTCTGCTCACTTCACTTTGCATCAGTTCTTTCTAGGATTTTCTGAAACTACCCAGCTTATCTTGCCAGGAACCATCCTCCTTACCACTTCCAGGCCATTTCCTTACCATGCTGCCTAAACTCCCATCAGCCTTTTCATCTATCTCTCTTCCCCTTTTCAGTTCCTCTTCATATGTTGTCTTCCTCCATTAGAATACAAGCTCTTTGAGGGCAGGACTGCCTTGCTTGTACTTGTATCCTCAGAGTGTTAAAGTATTTGGCACACATAATGGGTTCTTAACAAATTGTTTATTTTTTCTCTGGAATCAGAGCTGCACTTCTTGTGGTCCGGTGGAATATCGGAGTCTTACTGGCTGGGAAGAGCTGGCCCTGAATGCAGCTTTTTCTTAAAATCAAGTCTCTTGTGAAGTCTAGGGAAAGTGGAAAAAGAGATGTCTGGGCTTAAGGAAGAGCTGGCAAAGCTAAACAAAGCCTTGGAGAAAGCAACATGTCAGGGGGAGGAATGCGAAGCAAAGCAAGCCTTCCTTAATTGTGAAAAGAACGACTTAGTCCTCCAGCTGCAGGCTGTGAGCATTCCACCTGGTCCGCTATTCACTCACTCATTCTCTCTTTGGAATTGCTTGTGATTTTTTTGGTAGTGATTGCTTGGAAAGGTTAAAAAAAATAGCAACCAGCCAGAAGAATGTGAGTTTTTCAAACTCCATCAAATTCTGCTGAATATAGGTAATTAAAACATTTTAAAATGCCCTCTCTGTTTCATAACGAAGTGAGGAGATTCTTTGGCAGCTGGTCTTTGTGTATAATTAGGTTTTACCTTATAGAGGTACGTACCATTATGTGTTACAGGGATCAGTTAACTTCTAGACACTGAATATGTATATAATGGTGGAGGGGAGGGGGAGGCTGGCCAAGGATGGTCCAGTCCTTAGATTATGCTCAGATTTTCCTTTCCTGATAAGATACATAGAGTATGTTCTAAGGACTGGGACCTCGTTGGCCACCCGCACCATTATATGTGTATGTGTGTGTGCATGTGTGGATGTGCATGCACACGTACACATTTTAAAGTCTTTAGGTAGACCCTGATCCACTTGCACCACTGAACCATATATATGGATGCATAGTGACTTAGAAAAAACTGCACATTAACATGATCTTTGTTTTATTGTGTTTTTATTTATTTTGTTATTTACCAAGTACTTTTTAATCTGGTTTTGCTGCATTCAGGAGGGTCTGGGGAAGAAGGGATGGTGCTGTGTATTTGACACCTCTGGTCTAAAGTACAGAAAGAAGCTTGATTGTGGCCAGATTGTCAGAATAGGCTCCAAAGCATTCCCCTGCTTTCAGTCTTTCCTTGCATACACAACACTTAACAGTCAACCCCAAAACATTGCTTTCATCATATCACTCCTTTGCTCAAAAAAATTACTCTTTTGCTCAAAAACATTCAGTGGCTCCCAGGGCCTAAGGGATAAAACCTAAACTCCTTAGCCATTTATCAAAGACCCTATCTGGATCCAACTTACAAAGAGTGAAGAACCCTCCCACCTGTGTGCAACAGGTACCTCTGTTGAGAAGAATAACTCTTTCCCTCTCTCCCTTTTTCTCTAAGCAGCCCTAGGTTCATTTGTATGGCATGGCTCTTTTGGCCCAAACACAGATTGGGACTAGAAAGATAAGGAAAGAGACGGAATGAAGGAGCCCTTCCATGGGAAATATCTAATGAGTAGAAGGCTACCCCTTAGAGAGTCAAGAATAGGAAATGGAGACTTGCTCAAATACAGCCAATAGGTCAGCCTGTGGACCCATTTAAACACACATGCTCACACAGGCAGACAGAATGAGTAAATACCCCCAGGAACGTCTTGGAGTTGGGTGGGAGCAAGCTATAGTACTGTCAGCCTCTTCTCTCATCCAACTGGCACAATTTCCTGGGAAGATGAAACAGCTGTCTTGGAAGAGCAATGGAGAGGAGAACCTATGATGCCTGGTAGGAGGAGGAGCCAAAGCAGCTGTTTCCTTCCTTTCAAGGACGATCCTTCCTGGCTTTTGCTCCTGGTCTCCAGGAGATGGTGCCAGGTGTTGAGCATCACTGGAGAGAAGGCCTGGCATTAGTATAACTTTTTCATGCTCCAGAACCAGAATAACTCTAGGCCATTTACTTAGCCAGCCAGTCAACCAGCGTTTAGTAAGGGTTTCCTATGTGCCATGCCCTTTGCATCCAGGTGCTGGGAGAACTGTCTTCTATTTGCTCTACTGAACTGAGTCTTCATTCTCTTATTCTGGACTAAGTTAGAGTTAATCTCTCTTATGGGTTCACTCTCTCCCCAGCTCTGGAGACTAGTGCTTCCAGTTCTTTTGCAGTTTGCCAATGAGTCCTAGGATTCTTCTGTTTCCCCCTTTCTGTTGTCTTTCTGGTCCCTTTCTTTCTCTGGGGCAACTGGGTTAGGTAATGAAAATCCGTTCAGGGCATTTTTAGAGAAAGCACTAAAAAAAAAGAAGCTTGAAGAGGCTGGTAGCTATTCTCAGCAGGAACCCAAGACACAGGATTTGAACGGAGGGCGATGAGGGAGGCATAAGGAGCAATCCACCACTATGTAACTTTTCAGACATCTCCTGCTGTTCCTTTAACAAATCCTCCACATCAGCTAAATTGGTCTGCTTACTTACCCTAAACATATGCTTTTTTTTTTTTTGCCCCTGAACAATTTACCTGGGCTGCTTTCTTTTCCTGCCTCTGACTAGATACATCATTACCTCTCTTTTCAATTCTAGTTCAAATTCCGTCTTCCAGGAAGACCGCCTGGTCATCCTAGTAGGAAGTAATCTCTTCTTCCTTTGAACCTTACAGTATTTTATGGTCTGAATCTGTCATGTGACACTTCTGATATACCATCTAGTATTGTAATTATTTGTGTGCATCTCTTGTCTGCCCTAATACCTGCTGAAGAGCAGTAACTGTCTTTCAAGTTTTTGTATTTCCTTCCTGGTAGTACCTGGCATGGTGGCTTACATATAATAAGCATTCAATGCTGACATAGTAAGTATTGAATGAATTGCATACCATCAAATAGTAAGTACTGAATGAATTAATCAATTGAAGAAATTAATTTTAAAAGCATTGTATTAATTTTTCTGACGTTCAAATTCAGTAACATCAACAAAAACAGCTTAACTGTTTAGGTGATTTTGAACTCATTGAAAGAATTTTAGGGGAAAAAAATAACTTATTAAAGAGCTGAATTGGGGAAGCTAGGTGGTGCAGTGGATAGAACACCAGCCCTGAAGTCAGGAGGACCCGAGATCAAATCCAGCCTCAGACCAAGCACTTGTCAGTAGCTGTGTGACCCTGGGCAAAGTGACAACCCCAATTACCTTAAAAAAAAAAGAGCTGAATTTAACTCTGCTTTTCCCTTGGGTCAATTCCATGTTTCAAATTTACAGAGTCTAGTTGTCTCTGCTGTTAGTTTAACCATATGCACACACTTTTTTTTTTTACTCTTTTTTAAAACCTCCTTGCCCTACCGTCATTCTTGTTTAGAATGAGTTGCAGTGTGTGATAGATTTGGGATAACTACAGATGAGACTCAACTATCCTTTTCTGCCTCTCTACCCTACACAGGAATGGAACATATCAAGTGTTGCCTTGACTGTCCATGGAGACGGTTTGGTTAGTGGAGCTCCAAGGGGAGTGGGAATGAAGGTTAGGACGATGGAATGGCAGACCTAATGAAGGAGGATGGGATTGTGATGAAGTTAAAGAAAAATCCAAGTCAGCCTGGTTACCTAGAGGATGGGTGGTGTTTACACTTGTCAGTCACTGTGTCAAAAACAGACAGAGCTCAGCTCAACAGGGGTCAAACCAATAAGCTTTCTTCTGACTTAGCCTTGGAAATCCTAAGTTATCCCCTTCTAATTAACATAGTGAGTCTGTGTGGGAATAACAGTCATTGGGGAAAGAATCTTCAGGCTGTTAAACTGGCACCTACCAAGGCTCAGTCCCCAAACCCTGCTGTCCTGGGTAATGAATGGATCAATGACAGTCAATTGGATACACCTCTTCATTCAGAGCTGGTAGCAGGCCCTAGATGCACACTGAATGGAATGGAACAAAATATCTGTTCTGCCTGTCAACTGGGGCTGCAATAAGATGAAATACATCTATTATTCCCCAAATTTTGGAGGCTCTTCTGTCTTGCTTCTGACCCTTCCTGCTAAAGCTGTCTTTACATTTTTCATTTAGCTCCCTCTTTGAGGTCCTGATGGAGGGTGGAGATTTACTTTTCTCCCCTTTTCCTTTCTCATCTTTGTCCTTAACTCTTCCCACCCCCTCCCTGTAACCAGCTGCTGAGAGCCACTAGCTTCTCCTGCCAAGAGCTGACCCAGAGGCCAGTAAACAGGATTTTGCCTTTATCTGCTACTGATCTAACAGCAGAGACAACTTAAGCATAGCAAATGAGAAGATAATACACTTCCTGAGCCAATATGTTGCAGAGGACGGGTGAGGTCTTGAAAAGGGAAATGGAGATATGTTTGGAGTTGTGGTGCGTTAAGACCTGGTGCAATCAAGAGCTTGCTCACAAAGAAGAGGTTTCATTTAGCTTCTAATGGAGACAAATTAGAGGGAACTTGATTGAGGGATTCAGACTTATGAAAGGTGGTTTATACTGAAAGGCAATCAGTTCCTTCATTCTGATCCTGACCCATAACACGAAGAACAATGGGCCACTCAGGGAGAGTTTGAGGCGGTACAGTTGGAAATGGATAAAAGGAAATGCTTCTTTATGCAGCCTCACTACAACTTGTGGAGTTTGCTGTTGTTGGAATCCTCGAGGCAAAAGGTTTATTAGAAATCAAATGAAATGTAGCTATTGACTTCAAATAACTCTGGGAATCTTGAATCTGGGCTTTGAGAAAGTAGTACATGATTTGATTCCATTTAAGAATAGGGACCAGGACTGGATCTGTGATTTTTTTGTTATAGGCAACTACAGATGAAAAAAGACCCTCTACCTATGTAGGTTAGCACCTTCTAGTCTAGCTTGTTGGGGAAAGCACAGAGGGTTATTCAGGGTTATACGCTTAATGTACCTTCTAGTCTAGCTTATATAGTCTTAAGAGTTATAGAAAAGGGGCAGCTAGGTGGTGCAGTAGATAGAGCCCTGGCCCTGGATTCAGGAGGACCTGAGTTCAAATCTGGCCTCGGACACATAACACTTACTAGCTGTGTGACCCTGGGCAAGTCACTTAACCCCATTGCCTAACCCCCCCCCCAAAAAAAATAAAGAATTGTGGAAAGCATGGAAGGTTACTCAAGGTTGCACAGCTTAATGTACCTTCTAATCTAACTTATATAGTCTTAAGAGTTGTGGAAAGCATGGAGGGTTACTCAGGGTTACACAGCTCAATGTGTCCCAAGCTCAGAATCCAGGGCTTCCTGGCTTCAAGGTCATCTCCTCTGTCCACTACAATGCACTGTCTAATAAATGGTTACATTTACTAAATATTTATTTAGGTTACAAATGAAAGTGTTGAGGACAGAGGTACAACTAGGATTTTTTTTCACATGGGGACAAAAATAATGAAAGTGTATGGTGGTGGCAGAACAGAGAACAGTCCAACTGTGGATGTAATCCAGGAGAGAACAGCTCATCCTCCAGGAAGTCCAGCAGGAAGATTGAGAGGCATAAGGTAGGCTCCCAGGCAAGGGGTGTTAAGGGGACAGGATGGGGAGGGTAGTGGCCTGCAGGCAGTTGGGCTGTGTCTATCGGGTATTTGGAGTTCCTTGAGGCCAAGTAGGGGTATGACATTCACACCAGGGAGAAGGTACCCCCCTTGGGGAAGAAACTCACCCCCTAGATACTAGGATCCTAAGCTAAAGCCCATTTACTCTCTGCTAGTTAACAGCTCTGATTGATGATATTATGGAGTGGATTCCATCATAAATAGCCTACATTCTGTAGTTCTGGAATGTGATTTTTCACCCTTTTGGAAACAATCACATTCACTCATACTATATACCAACATGAGCATTTCTAGAAATTGTGGGTTTAGAGGCACATGGCTTATTTTTTTTTAAACATATTTGTTTTTTGATCGCCAGGATTCCCTTCAGTGCCCTGGAAAAGGTAATTTAATTTATTAATCAGGCTGGAAGTTTGAATTTGCCTCTAAACATAAATAAGGCACTCCCATCAGAGCGATTGTTATATTATTTTAGAGGTTTAAGAAAAGGTAGGTGGACAACATGTTATACAGAGGGCAGGCAATTAGCTCTCTGCTAAATGTTAAACAGAATTCTTTGCTGATGAATTATTTCCAGCTGTTGGCAACTATTTTCTCTGCATCATGGTAGGAGTAAGAGACCCTGGCAGATGTTGAAGAACAGAACAACTCTGATAATATCCAAGATCCAGCTGGAGGCCAAAGTCAAAGCACTCTCTGAGCCAGTAAAGGAAGAAGAGGAGATAAATTCTGAGCTGAATGCCAGGAAGAGGGAACTGGAAGATGAATGCCCTAGGCTGAAGAAAGAAATCGATGACCTGGAAACAACACTGGTGAAGTCAGAGAAAGAAAAGCACTCTACAGAACATAAGGTACTTTTTTTTTCCCCTCTGAAGAGGGAGGCCTGGTGGCCCACATGCCTGTACTACAACTCTCTCAAACCTGGTTTCTGTCACCAGCTTCTTTTTAATTAGCACAAGAACCGGCTCCCTTAGGTTACAGGAAGGTTAAAACTGGTATAAGATATAGAACACAGTGTGCTGAGCCATCAAATTTAGATTTCAAACACAAGCTTATGTTGAAATCACAGTTAATCTTCTAAGTAATTTTCCCCCATTTGCTTCAGTATCATTGTGTACAAAATAAGATAGAAAGGTTAAAATAGATTTCTTTGGACTCAAAGTGGTTTTTTTTTTGTCATAGAGGGTCACAGTTAACTAAATGGCTGATTTGGAATAGGTAGCAATTTTAATTCTGCCCTGGATTTGCTGTTGGAATTTGAATGAATTGCTTTATTTTTAGGTAGAGAATTGATTCTCTTGTCTTTGTAGGAGTTGAGAGTAGCCAAGAATGATGTGTGTCAAACATTTGGAATTGGTAGACATCCCATATATAAAACTTTTTAAAATTCAAATTTAATTTTATTTTCATTCTCTTTCTCTCACCTCTGTCTTCTCCTGTTGACCCATTGAGAAAGCAAGAAAAACAAAGCTTATTACAAGTGTGTATGCTCATCAAAACAAATTTCTTCATTTGCTGTGTCAAAAAACAGTCTCAAAGTATTCTCTGGATCTGTCCATCAATCAATCAATCAGACATTTATTAACTGCTTACTATGTGCCAGGTACTGTGCTAAGCATTGGCTCTTTCTATCCAGAGATGGGTAGCATGTTTCATTTTGAGTCCTCTGGAATTATGTTTGGTCGTGGTGTTTATCAGTGTACCTAACTCTTTTGAATTTTTTCAACATATAAAGCTTTAATGATGACTTTGACGAGTGACACCTACTCCCTTTTCTGGCTCTCTTTCAGATGAATAGATCCCAGTTTCAGGCTCACATGTTTTGTTTTTAGACATTCTATTCCTAGAACCATTCATCTGGGCACTACCACATATGACCAGTATAAGAATGGTATTTTGTGTTTTGTAATGATGCTTTCTATTTGAATGATCTTGAGCAATCATTCCATCTCTATGGGCCTCAATTTCCTCATCTATAAAATTAGGGAGTTGGACTAGATGATCATCTTCTAACTTCTAAAGCCGGGAGCCCAGGTCCCTGAGACTAGCAAGATTCTTCTGAATCATCAGAGAAAGACTTCAAAGTAAAGCTAATATGCTTTTTAGTGTTACCTATGATTTTCTGTATTCTCACTTCATGAAAATTGGTCATTTCTATATAGCATATGGAGTAACTCTTTGATTACCAGAAATTTTGATTAACTAGATCGTCATGTCCATGATCATGGCAAATAATTCAATTCAGTAGATATTTATTAGGTACCAACTATGTGAAAAACACTGAGAGAGTTTACTATAGAAAGCAGAATGATCGGGAATCTGTGAAGACACTGTTCTCACACACCCATGATGAGGCCAGATCCAGATCCAGGTTTACCAACTCTACCTACATCCCCATATTCTCAGGTAGATGGTTTTCAGTTGGTCCCACTCTGCAGGAAAGGTATATCTTCCAAAGGTCTGTCTCTTTACAATTGGCAATGTGGTATTGGGGAAAGAACACTGATTTTGGACTCGGAGAACCTTGGTTCAAATCCCAGGTCATATCACTTGTGTGATGTTGGACAAGCCACTAAACTTCTCTTAGTCTCCATTTCCTGACCCTGCAAAATGAGGGGATTGGATTAGATGGCCTTGAAGATCTCTTCCAGCTCTAGATTTTTAATTTTTGATCCTTTGAATATAGGTCGGTAACACAGGTAATGTCCATCCAAAATAACTGGAGGGGTCATTTTGCCTCAGAATTTCTAAAGGTCCATCAGGTGTTAAGTTTCTCTGTTCGTCATGATCCTGTCTGTAACACTGGCTACCGTATAAATGTCCAGTATGAAAAAAAATGGATGAAAAAAAGATGGCCTCCTTAAACATCCTGTTGGTTCTGATGAAGGACATCTTGAACAGTTATTACTCCTTACCCACAGGTCAAGAACCTGACGGAAATAGAGTTGCTGAATGATGACATTGAGAAACTTAACAAAGATGTAAAGGCTACCAAGAAGACCCACCAGAAGCCATAGATGAAGTGCAAACCAAAGGAGACATACCCAGCACCCCAAGCAAAGCAAAGCTCAAAATAGAATAGCAAGTCAATGAGGCAAGTGATTTTCCCCCACCCTTTTTGGATATGTTTCTATTTTTTATGTATTTTGATTTTAGAGAATCAAGAAAACTTAGAGGCATATTTTGTTTCAAAATTATTATCTTCATAGTTGGCAATTCTTTCAATGTATATCAATCAACAGAATTCTATAATAAACATGACTAGGGTAAGGCTGGGTCTCCATAGTGGGGAGTAGAATAAAGACATGTTCTCTGTCCTAAGGAACTTAAACATAGATGGAGAGATAATATATACAACTTCAATACTAAATAGAAGACCATATACAATATTTAAGCTGATCATGTTAGGAGTTGAGTTATGTCTATGTTTTTCAGGACTTCATAGAAGAGTACTAAGATTGACTTCATGGATTTTTCTTCATAAAGTGTTCTCTTTTCCTTGCATATTGGAAGAACCTTGCACTGCAATAATGGAACCTTGTTCTTACTCCTATTTTCAGTACCACAATTGGGTTCCATCTTCACATATGCCATTCTAATGCTAGTTCTATGAAAACTGATCAGTATCTACCCCTGACCCTCTCAGTTTTAATCTGGCCTCATTCTTGGCCTTTGTCCCATCTTCATTCTCTACTTCACTAATTGGCATTAGAAGACAGGGTTAATACCCTGTTATAAACTAAATGACTATATGCAATTATATATTGTTTAGCTATGTGGCATGAATTACATGCAAATATAGGCTTTGTTCTCCAGTACGCTGGGACTTTAATGGATCTGTCATTTTACTGGCATGGGTACTGTTTCCTTAATGCAAATTATAATTTCTCCTTACCTTCTCATCCTATGTGATTATCAATATTTTCTCATAAACGCTCCATAAAGAAACTACTAAATATTCTAGGGATATCCCTCTTGTTTTTTTTTAGAGTATCTTTTAAAGTAACTTGTAAAAAAGTGGGCTTTTTATTTGTTATCTCTCATTCTTACTTTTGTAGTCATATATGTTTTTGGTAACATTTCATACCAATTTTTCTTGCGAGTTATTGTTAACAGTGGGCTAAATAAGGCCTGCTTATATCAACCACTCATTTTTTTCATTGCCCTTTAGATTATTTGCACTTCTTTTCCTTTGATGTCATACTGTTCCATGAGTCAAAGCCATATGCATCACCAGAAGAACATTGATGTTAATGACATGAGTCTTAAAATAGTGAGCAGTTTGGGATCATCTACAGCATTGCTCATTTTTCTAAATATAAACTTCTTCCATTCTGGGGTAGCCCATTATCTAGCCTGTCAGGGATAATAATAGGCTAATTTGATTGGCTGCCCATCCAACTAGATAACAGCTAGACACTGGGTGTTTTTTATCCACTTTGTTTTTTTGTTTTTGTTTTTGGTGGATGGTTCCAAAATTGTTTTGCATTGCTGTAGATTCCATGGAGGAGATTTTACAGTGTTCCAGGGATAAATGCAACTGATACAATGTCATCTGTGAGTTGGGGCTTTTGTAGGACTTTGGTATCAATAAGCAATCCCTTTGGGGGCTTTTGACTTCACCTACTACATCTTTTATAACATTGTGTCAATAAGCAAAGATATAGCCATAGTCATAACTTTCATTGATGTATATAGTTTTAATGTATATATAGGAGACACAGTTTGAACTGTTTTCCTCTAAAGAGTTAAATATTTTCTTATGTAAAGAATTTATGAAGATGAAGTTGACCAGAACTAGTTGAACAACTGGACCCCAAAAGTGAGTCATTAACAATAGTTCAATGTCAATGTGTAATGGAGTCTGGAGTGGAAGGCCCATATGATTCTGTGTCATCTAAAATTTTTATCAAAGACCCTTAACAAGACATTTCTAATTAATTAATTAGTTAATTTTTAAATTTTTAGGCATCGGGGTTAAGTGACTTGCCCAGGGTCAAACAGCTAGTAAGTGTCAAGTGTTTGTTCTGAGGCCAGATTTGAACTCAGGTCCTCTTGACTTCAGGGCCGGTGCTCTATCCACTGCATCACCTAGTTGCCCCAACAAGATGTTTTTGATGTGCTTATAAAATCTTCACATGGAACAAAACTAGGAAAAGTGGTTAACACATTAGGCTATCATTAGGATCCAAAAAGGATCTTGACAGGTTAGAATATGGGGCCAAGTTTAACAAAGGAAAATTTAATAGAAATAAATGTAAAGGTCTATAGTTGAGTTGAAAAAACTAAATCTATAAATGCAAAATGGAGAGGTGTGGCTAGATAGCAGTTGATCCAAAGAAAATCATAGGGTTTTAGTGGACTACAAGTTCCAGATGAGTGAACAATATGATACAATAGCCCTACAAAATTAATGCAGTCTTAGTTGTTTTAAGAGAGATAGTGTTCAGGATTGGAGAGGTGATAATTCCACTGCACTCTGCCTTGGTCCAACCACATACGTAAAGCTGCATCCAGTTCTCAGTTCCAGATTCTAGGAACAGTATTGATAAGTTGGAAAATGTCAAGATGGGAGCATCCAGGGTGCAGAAGTACCTTGAGATGATGACATATGAAGACTGATTAAATGAACTGAGTTTTTTCTGAGGCAGACAAAACCTAAGGAGTACATGACCTTTATGTACAACTATTTGAAGGGTGATTCGACTTGTTTTGCTTAGATCAAGAAGATGTGAAGTCAGATTTTGGCTTAATTTAAAGGCACATTTCCTAACAATTTAGAACTATACAGAATTGAAATGAATTTTCTTAATAGGTCATAGAATCATAGTTTCATAGATCTAGAATTGGAAGTGATTCCATAGACCATTTAGTTCAGTTGTCTAATTTTGTGGATGAAATGATGTGTTCCTTTTCACAGGAGGTCTTTAATCAAGGGATTTTTGTTTAGTGTGGGGTTAGTTTAGATGGCTTCTGAAGTCCTTTCCAACTGCATGATTCTATTATTCTGACTATATATAATATATATATATATATATATATATATATATATATATATATATATATATATATCTCAATACTATACTCTTAATAATATAAAAGATCTTTCCTCCTTCATCCCTCCCAATAAAGGTGAATGAGAAGGCATAAATAATTACCAATTCAGATATTGGCTTTCATATCTATACAAACTCTCTCAGAATGGTCTATAAACACTCTGAAGGCATCCTTAATGAAAACATTAGAAAGGAACAGGAAGGAATTTTCAGGTGATTATCTATAACCAACTACATTTTTATACTTACGTGACTGAGAAGTATAAGGAATATGAGATCCCACTATGTGTGTTTGATTTGTAAATGTTTTACAATTCATGGCAGATAATAACTTAAGAGTTCTAAAGGCAGTGGGAATATTTTGGTTTGCTCTGGTTTAAGCTCAGTGTGTGTTCACTCTCATTTTTTCCTAGAAACTGTTCTGCATTTGAAGATATGGACAGTCAGCCATGTGTTCTCTCCATTTTCTCTTTTTCCTATGTCTCTCTGGCTTTTCTTTCTCTTCTCTCATCTTCTTCCCTTTGTTCCCCAACCCCTTGCCTCCTAAATGAGGTTAACCTATGGGTCTCAGTACCAGGATTCCTAGGGACTTTCAACTTTTGCATACATACTTCCTCAGGAAGTTCATATGCTTTCATTTTAACTGCCATGACTTTGTGTAAAGTTTCCAGAGAGTTTTCCCTCATAGCAATTCCATGACTTTATCTACAGGGCATTTCCACCTATATGTCCTACTACCATGCAAAATTGTTAATGTCTGCCCTTTCAGATTGCCTCCTGTTTATACTCTGTGTATGTGTGAGTAATAAATAAATGTGCGTATGTGTGTATCTATGTCTATGTACATATCTACATACATACATACATACATACATACATACATAGCATATGTAGTAGTTTTGTGTTGTCTCCTCCATTAGAACGTGAGGCTCTCAAGATGAAAGAACCATGGTCTTGCTTCTCTTTGTATTTGCAGTTAATTAGTTAACTAGCATTTGTTAGGAGCCTGATATATGCTAGGCACTGTGCTAAGGGCTGGTGATACAAAGAAAGTCAAAAAAATATTCCCTGCTCTCAAAAGAGCTCACACAGTACCTGGCACATAGTAGGTTAAATAATAATAGATAGATAAATGCTTGTTGTTTTTAAATGTGATAATGAAAAGCTCTTCTTTAATACTACCAAGGCTTTCCTTTGTGTTAGTACAAACATTTATTTGCCATATTTACAACATGTATTGCCATATCGTATTGATATTTTAATATAATGTATACATGTAACATAAATATATGCACATATTATAGAGAGTAGAATGTATACATTGATATTATTTACAGGGTATGGTTTTTGTTCTTTCTTCTTCTATGGGTTTTAAGTACATTATACACACCAACCTTCTGCAAGAGAGTTTTAAGCATCTTGATGTCATTAATCATTTAGTTAAAAATAACAAATTTTTCTTTTGTCAGCTTGAGGGTGTCTATGAGCAGGAGAAGAAAATAAAGATGGACCTGGAATGGCAAAAGGAGAAACTGGAGGGTGATTTAGATCTAAGCCAGGAAAGCATCATGGATCTGGAGAATGACCGGCAGCAACTAGATGAAAAATTAGAAAAGTAAGATGCCTTTCTGTTGGCCAGATAATTTAGGAACCACAGTACATACTGGGAGGAGCAACTAATCTGTTTTGTCACTCTTGTGCTTCCAATGCCTCATTTTTTAATGACTCTAGGGAAAGATAACAGACTTAAAAAAATCAAACTTATGTAGTATCTTGGCAAAAGGGCTAAAAGGAAAATCAAATGCGTTAAAGAGCAGTGTGTGGTTGGATTAAGGCAACTGTCCTATTCCTCTGGAAATATTTGGGGAATAGGCTAAAGACAGGATTGGCAAAAGGTATGGCCAATAGGCTGCTCACTTTGTGCAGCAGTAAGAATCCCAGTGGTAAAGGCCAAGAGGAAGAAAAAATTTAAGTGAAGTAATAGATATAATCACTGAGGTAAAACAGGTAAGCATGTTTTAGAATCTACATAGGTAGAGCATTTATTAAGCCTTTGGTATATTCTAGTGCTAGTGCTAAGCACTGGGGGATACAAATAAAAGTAAGTAAGCAAGATCCTGGCCCACAAGGAAATTACATTCTACTGAGGGAAAATGATAAAAAGGGTGTTGGAAGGGGTCAGGGAGGTATGGTGTGGAAAGCTTCTTGGAAAGGGCATGGAAGAACAAAATAAGTCAAAGACCAATGTTCCAGGCTGAGGGAGGTGGCATGAAGTCCAAGTTTTTAGTGGGGTAGAGATAGAAGAGTAGATATCTATAAAGTGGTGTCAGGAATTAAATATCCAACCAAATTGATTTGAATTCATAGAAATTGTATATTTTCCATCCTGACTTACTTGATACAAAAATTATTTCAATTTTTTGAATTTTTGAATTTCAATTTTCTAGGGCTGTATTTTTGAGTCCTAGAACGTTGGGCAAGCCTTATTCTCCCCATTACCCTTCGCCCTGATTGTTTACATGTGCTTCAGTTTTGAACAGTTTTCCCTCTCTGTTGGTGTTTTTTGGAAGTTTGTTCATTAAGGCAATGCAGCACTGGCATTGTTGGGAAGGAATACATAAGCTGTGCCTGCAAAGTGACTAATCCCATAAACAGCAGAAGAAAAATCAGTCTCGTTACCTTACAAAACATCTCATGTCTTTTCTCTTGTTTTCCTGCTTTTGACCTGCTTTCCTCTAATTTTTTCTTTTCAATAATATTTGGTAAATTCAATGGAACTTCTCTAAGTTTTAAAGCTACCTAGAATGGATTTAGAGGAAACAAAGCAGAGGAGAGAAAGCTGATCATAGATTTAGGAAGACCTGGCTTCAAGTCCCATCTTTGACACATACTGGCTGTGTGACTCCAGACAAGACACAACTTTTCAGGGCTCTAGGCAACTCCCTAAGACTATAAGTTGCAGAGAAGGTACTGACCTACATTGGCAAAGGGAATTTTCTTACCTGGGAGTTACCTATACCAATGAAATCACAGATCCAGTCCCTATCCCTAGTCTGGAACAGAATAAAAAGGGAAATAGTTAATGAGGTACAAAATGAAGGTAGGATAAGGGTTTGGAGCAGGAGTTCTTAATCTAAGGTCTATGAACTTGTTTTAAAAAATACTTTAATAGTTGTATTTCAATATAGTTGATCTTCTTTGCAATCCTATGCATTTGTCTTTAAAAATATACTTCTGAAGAGGAGTCCACAGGCTTCAACACTCTGACAAAGGGGTCCATGACACTCACGCAAAAAGGTGGTTAAGAATTCCTGAACTAGAATAAGGCTAGGTTAAGGGAAGATATGTGGTTTGACCCATGGAGATAATAACATGGACATAAAGGTAGGGCTGTGGTTAGGATAAAACTGGTTAAAAACCATGAAGAGCCAGAATCAGAGTTGGGCCTGAGTTATTGTTATGTGGGGGTGGATAGTATCATGTTCTATACTACCTAGTCCAGCTGGGAATTCCAGGTAACTGAGTATTTGTGGAAAGTAGACACCAATCTTAAAAACTGATGTAAAGTCTTTACTAATAGTACAATTTTTAAAAACATTGTTATATAACTGTAGTATCAGTAATAAAGTTGAGGATTTGGTAGGGGAAAGGAAGGCCACTGATTTAAATAAACTTACCTGCCTTCTGTCTGTTGCCTTTACTTTTGAAGATCTGTATCCTTCCTCAGCACAGTGGTGATAGAATCAGAAGTCCTTGGGCACCCTTACTCAGAATTCTAATACTTGCTTTAGAAATTGCTATTTCTAGGTCACTGTACTTTCACTTAAAAGAGAAAAAACAACTTTCCTCTCTGACCAGAGGTTCAATTTGAAGGTGTAGAGGAACCATGCTTCTGTTTGTTCTTGGATTCTCTCCTTAAAAAACTCAGGAAAGAATTGGAAATGGGCCTGCTGAATCCAGATTCCACAGATGAGAGGAACCTCCTCAGCCAGTTCCAGAACATGGTGGAGGAGCTTCAGGTAACCTCAGGTTGCTGAATACTGTATTCATGATCTGGACCAAGCAATGATGGATGGTCCTGCAGTATCCACCAAGGCAATTTTTTAATAGATGTGTTGTCTGTAACCAAAAGTCCTTGACATTGGAGGTTAGCAGTTTCTTTTAACTGCTAAGAACCTCAGAACATACTGTGTTCATCAGTGAATTCTTTTTGTTTTGAACCTGTAATTGAAGCTAACTGGTGCAGTTAGATATGGAGTTAGGAAGACCTGAGCTCAAATCTTGCTTCAGACAATTACTAGTTATGTAACCCTTGGCAATTCATTTTACTTCTTTCAGCCTCAGTTTCCTCATCTGTGAAGTGGGGATAATAAGAGCACCTACCTCACAGGGCTTTAGTGAGGATCTAATAAGATAATTTGAGTAAAGTGCTTTGCAAATCTTTAGGTACTATGTATATGCCAGTTGTTTTTATTATTATTATAGCAACATAAGGAGGTCCCAGTGTGGAAAACCTTTCCACAAATACAGAACAGCAACTCATCTGCTTCTTATAATCTTAGCAAGTTGCCTTGGGCACTGAAAGTTTAAGTTACTTGGCCAAGGTCAGGTAGTTATCATGGGTCATGATCAGGTCTTGAATGCAGGCTCTCCAACTCCAAGTATGAACTCTATGCATGCCAATTACCTATGTATAAGTACCTAATAAATACCTGTTGGTTGGTATATGTGTAGTGCCATAAAGTAATGAGACTGACTTTAAAAGATAAATGACTCTTTAAAAAAGCAACAACCAGACCATTTTGTTAAAACCCCTTGTTTTAGACCAAAAATGGTATTACCCAACTTGATCATCCATCTAATAATTCACCATTATTGGCTCTCAATGACTTTCATCTGCTTTCAGAAATTAAATTCACTCTGAAAAGATGACTATTTACCATCACTACAGATATTCAAAAGAAGAGCTCCAAAATATATATAAGAAATGGCAGCATCCTTAGAATAAGAATATTTTGAAGGGGGAAATACTGATTTGGTCATATACATCTATTAACCATGCAAGTCCTTTTAATTTATAGTCATACTTAAATCATTAATTTTGTGGTTGAGTCATTTTTCAGTCATATTTGACTCTTTGTGACCCCATTTGGGAATTTCTTGGCAAAGATCCTGGAGTGGTTTGCCATTTCCTTCTCCAGATTATTTTATAGAAGAGGAAATGGAAGCAAACAGGGTCAAGTGACTTGTCCAGGGTCACACAGCTCATAAATGTCTAAGGCTGGATTTGAACTCACAAAGATGAATCTTCCTGACTCTTATGTCCAGCACTCTGTCCACTGTGCCACATAGATGCCCCCCAAATCACTAATTTTAGTCATACCTCAAATAGAATGACAGTTAACGCTCATTCATCAGATAGGACAATTTACTTAAAACGAATTTGCCTAACACCATTGTTTTCCACGACTCAGTCATCATGGCGAACTTCAGTAATTTTATTCTTCTGTAATACAGTGAAGTTCTCAAGGATTAACAAAGGATTTGGGCCCTTCCCTAAATGGATCCAGACCCTAGGCATTTTGAGTTCTATTTTCTATAATTGTTTTGTCTCCTCCCTCACTGTCAGCTGCCACTTCTTAATGCTTGTCAGTGTACCTACCTCTCCAATCCCCTATTTCTCTCTCCTTTCTCATTTTCTAATTTGTTGCCTCAAATCTGCTGTGAGCTTAGAAACCAGGTAATCAAACTCAAAAGAGGTGTTGTCTAAAATGAATCTACAGGCTCTGGCCAAGGTCCTGAAGAGGTGCCTCTGAATAAAGTACATGACCTTTGTGACATCTATTTTGGCTGGTGGTTTTGCTTACTTTGCAGCTCTTGGCTCTGTTAAAGAGGAACTGACTTTAGGTGAATTAGTTTTAGGCAAATTGTTCTGCTCCATCCAGAGAGATGAACTTTTAGCATAGCTTTTAACAGCTGACATTGCCAAGTAAGTGGTCTTCAGGTTAGTGAGACATTACTGTGTGGGGAACCATCTTACTATTGTTCTTTTTGTTTTTTTTTAAACCCTAACATGTTATGGATCTATATTCAAGTTTATTTTCAAGGAGTAAGAAAAGAGTTTCCTTTTTTAAAAACTACATGTAATTAGAGGAGACCACATGTCATGTAGGGCTAAGAGCTCAGGAACTGTGAGTTCTAATTCTGGCTCTGTATTGATTTGGGGTAAGTCACTTAACCTCTCTTGGCAACACTTTCTTTAGCTGTAAAATAGTGACCCAAAGAGCCAACTGACCTTTCAGAGTTATGAGAACCAATAAATAATGCCACTATAATGTTCCCTGAGTATAAAACATGGTACAGGTTTCACACTAAAAGAAAAATTATTACTGTTGTACCAGGCTCGAACAGTGGAGTTGGAAAAAGAACTGGAAGCTGAAAAAACAACACAAGCCAAGGTGGAAAAGCAAAGGAATGACCTGGCTTTTGAGTTGGGAGAGATGAATGAGCAGCTGGAAGAGGCCAGAAGCACCAGTCTGGCCCAGATGGAGATCAATAAGAAGACGGAGGCTGGGTTTGTGAGGCTTCGAAGAGATCTGGAGGAGGCCGCCTTTCACTTTGATACCACTGCTACCACCATCAGAAAGAAACACGAGGAGAACCTGAAGGAGCTGAAGGGGCAGGTGGACAACCTGCAGTGGGTCAAGCAGAGCTTAGAGAAAGAGAAGAGTGAGTTGAAGCTAGAAGTGGATGGCCTGCTGACTAGTGTGGAGCAGATGGCTAAAGCAAAGGTAGGGTTTCTCGGGCCACCCTAAGGAGGAGGGTGGGGGGAGGGTGCCAAGGGAAAAGAAGGCGGAGTCTGGCTACCTGTGGCTGAAGGTCATTGGGTGTTGAAGCTCAGAATCAACTGACTGGGTTTGTGAAGTCATCCAGTGTCTAAAATCACTTGCCACTGCTTGGATGGGATTTGACTGTATTTAGCTTAAATAGGGTGTTGCAAGTAGATGACCTATAAGCTCCCTTCTACCTCTAAAGCTATGAACTTAATATAGCTTTATGGTTTTGTTGTAGTTTTATAGGACATTTCCATGAAATACACATCCTTAAACATGTTACTAATGGGCCCACCTTGAAGTCTTTGTGGAGAGACTCAGGATTAAGCAAGTAAGGAAAAGGAACGTTGTGCTATCTGCTTCTGCTAGTGAGGGAGCCTGCCAGGAAAACAGCTGGGTACCGTGGGTGGCTACTGCAGGGAACTCAGACAAGGCTAGAGTATATCTAGATATGACTTGTCCAACAGTCTGGCTGCCCAGGAAAACTGTCCTTTCTCCACCACACTTCTGTGGGTATTTTTCCATCAACCAGTACTAGCAGAAAACATTTAAGGGCATATTCGTAGAGCTAAAAGGTCTTCTGGAGGCCATTTTAAGGATGAGAAAACTGAAACTCAGAGTATTAGGTATCCTAAGGCAAAATTAGGATTACAACTCAGGACCTCTGACTCCAAATCTAGCACTTTTTCCATTACATTATTCTGCTTTTCTGTTTTTCTTCATTAATCACATTAGCAACACATAGCAAAGAGGTCTCTTTACTTTTATTGCACCCAGCCCATAGGGTTAGTGATCAGATTACAAATAAGAGCAATTCTTCCTTCAGGAACTCTGTACGGGGAGGCTAGCTTTAGGTAAGCCAGACTGAAGGGACATTTCTTATTTTCTTTCTTGTTAAACTTAATTTTTTTCAACTAATAAGTTGTTATTTTGTCCCTCTGCCACCTCCCCACTCCCAGCTGAAAAAAAAAGATAAAGAAAAACTATGCCTTTGTAACATATGCGTGGTTAAGCATAGCAAATTTCCTCACTGGCCAAGTCCAAAAATGTATGTTTTGTTCAGCATTTTGATTCCATCACTTCTTTCTTGAGTAGGTAGCATGCTTCCTTTCCTGTCTTCTGGAATTGTGGCTGGTTTGTCTTTATAATGTCGTTGTTGCTAATAAATTGTTCTCCTGTTTTTTCTCTAATCAAATATGTTTCATTCACTTTTTCTACCCCTGCTGTTGGGGGTTGGAGAAACTCATGGAAACATCATGACTAGGAACCCTACATCCCCCTGGCTATTCAATTCAACAAACCTTAAGTGAGACAGTTTGGTGGCATAGTGGATAGAATTCCGGATTTGGAATCATGAATTAAAAATCCTGTTTTAGGCATTCCTTAGTTTGACTCTGGCCAAGTCATTTGACTTGTATGTCTCAGAGTCCTCATCTGACAAATGAGAGGCTTGGTCTATGGTCCTATGATCTTGTAAGTGACTACTGCATACAAATGCAAGATATTTTGGTTATAAAGAAGTTTTGGTTCTATCTTTTACCTTTTGACCTTCTCCTGACAACTCTTATTCTTGGATCACTTTGCTTCCAACTGTGTACAGTGCCACCAAAAAAAAAATTCCTCTAATTTTCCTCCTTTCTACTTTAAGAATTTCTCTATATTGTGTCCCTTCTCTTCTTTCTTTCCTCACAGGGAGTATCCCTCCTTCTTTGCACATTTAATATTTTCTTTTCTTTTTAAAATTTTTTTCATTCACTTATTTGTAGTTTTCAACATTCACTTTTATAAGATTTTGAGTTCCTAAATTCCCCCCCTCCCCAAGATGGCATGCAATCTGCTATAGTCTGTACCGCATTTAATAGTTTCACTGATGCTCGTGACCTCATACTCCTCTACCTTTTAATACTGATCCATGAGTTAACCCCTCACTTATTGCTTTAATCTTTCCCTCTCTGAATGTTCCTTCTTTCTGACTTTGGTCAACCTTGGGTCTTCACTATCTTAAAAGCAAACAAAACAAAACACAAAACCAACTCTCTGGGTCTTACTATCCAGTTGAATTACCACCCTATTTTCTTTACTTCCTTTCATTCTCAAACTTCTCACAAGAAATGTCTGTATTCATTTCTGGGCCACTTCCTCTGTACTGCTTTCTACTGACTAGGGTTTAGAGTACTACCGTCTGCCTAAGATGTTTCTCTTCCAAATTACACCAATGACCTCAGTGTATCATACCAGGCAAGATACAATGTCCTCATCTTAGCGCCCATTCTTCTTGACCTGTCTGTAATATTTATCACTATAAACCACTGCATCCTTCAAATTCTTTCTTATTATCTTAGCTTCTATGACAGTGTATTAAGCTGGTTCTCCTCCTGCCTCTCTGACCATTCTTTCTGTCTCCTTTGTGGTCTCCTTCTGCTCCTTAAATGGCAGTGTTCCCAAAGGTTCTATTCTCTGTCCTCTATTCCTTGAAACATGGTTTCAACTATCCTCTCTATGTGTATGATTTCCAGATCTTATTTCTAACTCCTACCTCTTTCCCAAGTCCTAACAGTTACATTTCCAAGTGCCTCCTGGAAATTTATCCCTACATATTTCATACACCTTTCAGATCCAATGCTTGAGATCCAACTTTTTATATTCCCACCTATATCTGCTCCTTTTCTGAATTTTGCTGTTTCTGTTAAGGACACATTAGCTTCTGTCAACCTGAGTCAAAATCTTAGTGCTGTCTTTGACTTCTTCCATCTTTCTCTCCATGACCAAAATCATCACCCAGCCCTGTTAATACTATCTGTATCTCTCCCACCTCCAATCTCTTACCTCTCTAAATGTATTCTTCACAGAATTTCCAGTTTAATCTTCCCAAAGTGTAGCTCTAATTAAAGCACTCCCCAACTCAAAAGCTTTTAATACCTCCCTAGAGACAATCAAATAAAATTTAAAACTCCTTGCCATATCATTCAAATTCTTCAATGATCTGTCTTCATTCTACCAGTTCATGCTTATCTCCTGCTATTATTCTTACATATGTTATCTGTTCCAGTCACACTTTGCTCCCTGTTCTCCAAACCTACTTCTTCTTCAGCTATCTCTCTTTTCTTATGCTGTTCTTTCTTCTGGCATGCCCTCCTCCATCTCTTCCCATTGAAATCTCACATTATTCAAGGCCTAACTCAAATGCCATTTCCTCCATGAAACCTTCACTAATATCCCTCACATAATCAACTAGAAGTTATTTCTTTTCTTTCTAAAACTCCTTTAGAATTTGGATTCCTTTGGTACTGGTTTTCATTGAAGGCCTTTTACATTTTAATAAGATATGGCAGGTGTGTGGTATAGTGGAAAGAAGGCCAGATTTGCAAACTGAGGATTCTACGTTCTGGTCCTTACTCCTTGGATAAGTCACTTGACTTTTCTAGGCCTTTGTTTCCTCATCTGTAAAATGAGGTTGGACTATATGATCCATGAGGTCCCTTTGAATTCTAAATCTCTGGTCCTATGTTCTCATCATCTTGAAATATATTTACGTACCTGCCTTATGTAAATGAGAGATTTATTTCATATCTTTATATCCCTTTACAGTGCCTTGCACATAGTAGGCATTCAATACGTGATTAATGAGTGAATGAAGGAATAAATGGATTGATTACTATCACCCTGCCTGACCTGCACATTACACAAAACCTTTCTGAATTGTTTATTGCAGCCCTGGCCACTGAAGTGTAACCAAGCAAACCAACACACACTGGCACGGGGAAACTGCAGAATTTTAAAAGCAATGTCATTCTGGCAGAGGGGCCTGGGATAATTCCGAGGTTATAGGCATGAGCATAATTATCCCGATGATTATAAAATCACATTGGTTTCAACGGCATTGCAGTCCATTTCTGGGAGGCAGTGTTTTCCTACATACCTAAAAAACTTGGGGAAAGCGGTTTAAAAAACTGTCCTTCAGATTGGAAATGAATCCTCTTGATGGCTGTAGCCATGTATGTGTGCAGGTGGGGTTGAAGAGACTGATTGATGCATGTCCAGCTCGCCTTTCCATTCTGCACACGTGTAAAGGCTGTCATTTGATAGCAGCTGTGATCCTTAGTTGTTGTACCCAATCACTACTGATGCTTTGGCCTCTTGGACTCTACATTGGCACAAAGCCTTGGCTCAGAAAACAACTACCCCTTGGGTGATTGCTAGATGCCAGGCTTGGTGTCCAAAGAAACTGTGTTGGGTAGTGGGCAGAGACCTGGCATCCAGGTCAGAAAGGCCCCTGTTCAAGTCGCACATACTGGTATCATGCTCCTGGGTAAGTTACAATCCCTCCGTGTCCAGGAGCCTCTCTACAACAGGGGTTCTTAAATGTTTTTGTATCCTGGACTCATTTGGAAGTGTTCCAAAACCTTTCTTAGTATAATATCTCAGAAATCTTTCTCAGAATAATGATTTGAAATATTTAAAACAAAATACATAGTATTACAAAAATAGAAGGCAGCTAGGTGGTGCCATGGGGGTGAGTGCCAGGCCTGGAATCAGGAAGATTCATCTACATGAGTTCAAATCTGGCCTCAGACACTTACTAGCTCAGTGACCCTGGGCAAGTCACTTACCCTTGTTTGCCTCAGTTTCCTCATCTGTAAAATAACCTAGAGAAGGAAATGACAAACCACTCCAGTATCTTTACCAAGAAAACCCCAAATAAGGCCATGAGAGTCAGACATTACTGAAATGACTGAACAACATTGAAAAAGAAACCAATTCTATCAAAGTACAGTTATCAAAATTTTTTTTTTAGTTAGGCAATTAGGGTTACATGACTTTCCCAGGGTCATACAGCTAGTAAGTGTCAAATGTCTGAGGCCAGATTTGAATTCAGGTCCTTGTGACTCCAAAGCTGGAGCTCTATCCACTGCGCCACTTGGCTGCCTCTCAAAATATTTTTAAAAACAAATGAATGG